ATTCAAAACATTCTGTGGACTCTCATCATTATTGGCTGTTGCAAAAGAACTGCCATTTAGATGGTATGATGCTAAAGTGGTAGGTGGCTTATACGATCTTAATGCAGGAAGAACTGGATGATATTATAAGGTACGGCTCAAAAGAGTTATTTGCTGATGAGAATGATGAGGCTGGAAAATTGCGGCAAATTCATTACGATGATGCTGCAATAGATAGGTGAGTTTTCTTTAGGTCAGGTGCAGTTTCTCTCTTTTTTCTTTGGTTCTCGTTTAGAGTTGGTATTGGTTTATATCACGTGAATGAAAGATTTTTCTATTTTTTTTTCTCAGATTGCTCAATCGCGAGCAATTTGGAGATGAGGATGCTGTATTGGACGATGAAGAAGAGGATTCATTTTTGAAGGCCTTTAAGGTTTATATCTCCTCTATAACACTTTTATGATTGAAAGTGATTTTGCTGTGCTAATGAATTTTACCTATCTTCCCCCAACATCTCTATGGTAAGGAGTTAGCTGAATTATACCATGTGACCATCAGTGTCAAAAGGCTCACTTTTCGGTCATGCATGGTCCCTTGCCAATCTGTTGGGTATAGGTCATGTCTTCTATATGCCGGACCTCATATCTGACTCCGATATCACACTGTTCCATTTCCATAGGTTCAAGAGTCATCCTACATTACTACATTCTCTTTATGTAAGCACTACTTAGAATGCATTTAATACTATTCGGTTCTGTCTAAAAAAGTTTACCTTTCCCATGTTTATAACTTTCCAGCATCTGGTGTTTTGAAGCTTGTGGTAACACATTCATATCCTTCTGTTCTCTTTTCCAGCACCACCTTCTATTTATTTTTTCTGCCTGGAAGGGGATTATCTCAATAACCTCCCATTCTTTAGGACATACTTTGTCCCTCTGCACCGTAGGTTAAAGGCTCTTCCTCGTCTATCAACTTATCCTGTCAGCTTTACTACGTCCAAGCTGCTCACATGCCATTGTTAAATGCCATGCAAGCCCTAATTTGGGTCACAAGTGCACTAGGTTTGGTCTCACTTCAAGCATCGATGCTTCTTCTTAGGGTGCCTGAAGGTGAGAAACGTAGGAATAATCAGCGCTAAGGGAGAGAGATTCCAATTATAATGAGAAACTGCATGAACTTTAACAATTAGGGACATATCTTTGATGTTTGACCCAACTAGGCTACTGTTTAACAGGCTGTCTGTGAAAGTAGTAGTAGTATATGGAAGAAACAAAAAACTGATTTCGTCATCCAAGTGATATTTTGGGTGTCTGTTGGAAAACTTAGCATCATTAGCTAATTTCTTTAGCTAATGCACATAAACATTAATATACCTTGAATAAGTGGCAACACAAATCCCTGGTTTTGGAAAAAGATATAGTCAACTAGCATCATGAGCTGATTTCTTCAGTTAATTTAGGTGAACAGTGACATCCAGAAAATGGTTAAACATGATTCTTTTCTTTTGAGCTACAAGGACCTACAAAATTTAGTTATCTCTTGGTAATAATATTAACATTTGTAGCCCCCAGGGCTTTGGTCTAGTAAAGAGGGCAACTTGTGAGTGTGGGCTAGGCACATGTCACAGGTTCGAACCCTGCCTCATACAAAAGCCTGGTTTTTAAGTGGAGAATGGTACAAGGCCGGGCTTATTGTCCACCGAGTTTCAAACCGTGTGCCATTGACCCTCGAGGATTTCTCGGTTATAAAAAAAACTAACTTTTGTAATCATGTTGAGTCCTATGTTAAATGCATTGCAATAATATTTTGATCTTACAATCCATCCTTTGCTTATTTCATTGAATTTTCATTGTATAATTGATATTTTCCTGTGCGCTCTAAATCATTCAAAAGGTGTAGACAAACATCAGGACTGATACCCAGACTGAATCAAAGTTAAGATTCTTGCCTTTTGGTCATATTAGCTTCCTTGTTTCCTATGAGCTCCTTAAAGTCTCTCTCTCTCTCTCTCTCTCTCTCTCTCTCTCTCTCTCTCTCTCTCTCTCTCTCTCTCTCTCTCTCTCTCTGTTTCATGTTTTTATTTTTTTGGGGATAGATGGAGCTCTTAAGCTTAAGAAGCACCGGGTTTTACAATCACATTCATGTCTCCTAAATCCAGCTTCTCCCAAGGTTTAAGCTCTTGCCAAGCTTCAACTTCTTAACAATGATATCACTTCTCTATCATTGAAATTTAGACTTCTTATGCTGGCTCTTAGGGATCGTATAGTGTCCTCTTCGGTGCTAAGTGAATCTGTTAGATATTAGGTTGTACTTGCACTTGACGTGAAAAAAGAGGAATATGAAGCACACATTTGGCTCCTCTGAAATGCTTAATTATAAGCTGATTGTTTGATGGCCTTCCCAGTGCTTAAATTGAATCTGTTAAAATATTAGGTTATACTTGGCTACTTGCACTTGACATAAAAGAGGAGGAACAGAATACATTTGTTTGGTTCCTCTGAAGTGTTATACCAGTATAAGTTGAATAAAAATCTCTTATGTAAAGTTTGAAGAGCTAATGTCTTATATAGAAGGAGGCACTTCTACTGTAGTATGATTGCTCATGTCTTGAGTGAATGCACTTATGTCCCTTTCTACTCATAGCGTTGCCAGTTGCAGTTGCAAGGTGTTAGTTGCTCACTTTAACATTGGATATAATAAATACCTTATATATATATTCATTACGAATAATACATGTTACCTTGGTAATAAATCAATCGATTGTTATACTTAGAGATGAAAGTAGAGCAAAAGGAATAATTAAAGTCTAAAGCGTGCTCGAAAACAGTCGTAATTTATTAATTTTGTAAAACGCTAATTTACAAAATATTACCTTAATGAAATTTCTTTACTTCATCAAAATGAAATTGTAAAAGGCTAATTTAATGTGATTTAACGATAAGGGTTGAAGGAAAAGATGGTATACGGAAATTTTCTACGAGATAGCTAATGCTAATAAGAGGAGGAACTCTGTGAATAAAATAGAAGTGGATGAGGTGGAATAGGAGGATCTTTTATCAATAACCATATTGCCATGCGTCTCTACCTTGTTGCACCTTGAATACAGTTTTATTTTATTTCTGCTGTAATAAATTAATGAATGACCTTCATAAATAGTTGATTTAATGATAACACCAAGAAAATGTGAGCTTGATATTTCTGTACTTAAAATCCAGAGCTTCATACTAGAAGTGTTCTCAGGCGTAAAGGTATTCCTGGTCATCTTGATATGCTTGGTTCTTGGCATTACCCATGATTAATTAAGTACCTCCTAAACAAGAAACACTTCGACTGGTTTTCTCTAAGATTTTCCAGCAAGAATAACCTTATGGAAAGAAAACCTTTCCCAGCAAGAATAAGGAAATCTGCAGGCCTTGTATATTTGAAGTTGTTTTGAAGCTATTAGCTCTGAATTAGGAGAGTAAAGTCATATGTGAAGACAACTTTTATGTTCTTACTATCAATATATTGGTTTAGTTGTGAAAGTATCGTTCTCCTAAAGTTTTGTTTTCACGTTGGAGCTTTTTCTTTTCCCTCGTTGCATTCGAGCTTTGTATTTGGTTCCCTGATCTTGGACAAGCTAAAGCTGCTGAATGTTTCAGGTAGCTAATTTTGAGTATATAGAAGAATCAGAAGCAACACCAGAAGAAGATACCCCAACTCCTCCCTTGGAGAACAAAGCAACAGTAAACAATTCTGAGAGAGCAACCTACTGGGAAGAATTGTTACGAGATAGATATGAAATTCATAAAGTTGAAGAATTAAATGGTATGGGCAAGGGAAAGAGAAGTCGTAAACAGGTGTGGCATGCCATTCACAAGAGTCCATTACATTTTCAAATTTATTCAAATTTTCTTCTGTTGAATGAGTTGGCAGAGCATTAATCTCTACTTCATTTGACCATGTTAATCTAGTTATTCTCTCGAGTTTGCCTTTTGCAATTTATATGTTTAGTATTTACTTTTTGTGGTCAATTCTCAGAAGTTGATACTTACCTTTTGTCATGACACTCTTCGTTCTCCTCCCAGATGGTGTCTGTTGAAGACGATGATCTCGCTGGCCTGGAAGAGGTGACATCTGATGGTGAGGATGATAACTATGAAGCTGATCTGAGTGATGGTGAGACAGCTTTACCTGGAGCGCCAGTTGTGAGAAGGCCTTACAGGAAGAGATCCCGCGGTGAAATATGAACACTTGATCTCATTTCACAATTCAACTCGACTTATTAAAAATATCCCAATTAGGATACTTGATAGTATCTAAGTAAAAGTTCTTTATTCTTGCAGTGGACTCTTCAGTAACACTTCCTTTGATGGAAGGAGAAGGAAAATCATTTAGAGTACTGGGATTTAATCAAAGCCAAAGGGCTGCATTTGTCAAAATTTTAATGAGGTGAGGTCTCATCTTGCTATCTTCCTTTCAGTTCTTTGTTATTTCTCTGTTGTGCACTCAAAAACATGAATGTATTGAAATACTATATCATCTTTACAGATTTGGAGTTGGTGACTATGACTGGGCAGAATTCACACCACGACTTAAGCAGAAAACTTATGAAGAAATAAGAGAGTACGTAGAGATATCAACTTTGATTTTGTATATTCTTCAATTCTCTATCATTGGCTGCTGGCATCCTGATAAAAGAAATGGACTGCCGTTAATGTGTTAACTAAATTTTTTCTGTAGCTATGTCTCTGCTAAAAGGGTTTTTAGTGAAGAATACATCACATGCCTTGTAATCATGATTGCAAAAATTTATAAAATGAAAGAGAAGAGATCTCATGACTTTCATAAAAGTGGCTCTTCACTGATCTTCCTGGTCTCCTCTTGTATTGACCGTGCCTACTGAATCACCGAGGTGTTGTGCACAGCGATGCTATTTCTGTTATTGCAAGATATTGGTGCCAAATGAACTTAAATTTGATTCTCTGTTAGTTGCAGCTGACGACTTCTCATATATTGTGGTTGATCATATGGTATTATTTGACAAATTCCTACTGTTGTATTTCCCCCACTTTAGATTGATTTAGTGGCTGCACTTGATTTATGTGGTATGGAGAACAATTCATTGAAACTAACATCTGTCGTACAGTTATGGAAATCTGTTTTTGTCTCACATAGCTGAAGATATCACCGAATCACCAACATTTACAGGTGAAAGACTTATTCTTAACGTCTTGCTTTGTGAAGCTCTTATTTATCTGCTTTACTGCTTTAGTTTCTCTCTCCCTCTTTCTGCTCACCAATTGGGTAAAAACATTTAAACATTTGGATTGCAGATGGGGTTCCAAAAGAAGGATTAAGAATACAAGATGTGCTTCTGAGGATTGCAGTTTTGCTTCTTATAAGGGACAAGGTAAAATTTTAAATCAGATAACTTGCTGGATATCAAGGTTGGTGGCTGTTGGTAGATGCTGTTTCAGCTTTGAACAACTTTTATTGCAGTATAACTTTGCAAACTGTCCCTACTTTCCTGGTGCTTCATTTGATCTATGATAGGACTATATTGCCTTAATGTGGATTACGTGCTTATTTTTGCGGTAAATTTTAAGATGCGGCATGCATTTGAGAGAAGTTTTTTTAATAGGTAAAGGCAAATTGTTTGCAACAAGAAAGTGGTACCACTTGTATAGTGATGAAGTATACCCATAATGTCTTGTATCAGTAAACTAGTTATATATGCAGTTTATGCATGGATTTCATATATAGTTTTGCTACTACTAACTTTTTCCAGTGATCTCTGATACCCTCGTCAATGACAAAAGTATACTTCCATAAGCCACTGTTCTAAATGTAGGCTAGTCATTAAAATTTCACCAATAATTTCTGTTGTTTCAGGTGAAGGCTTCTTCGGAAGAGACAAATGGTCCTCTTTTTGCCAAGGACATTGTATCTTGGTTTCCTGCATTAAAAGGCGGACGAGTTTGGAGGGAAGAGCATGATTTGCTGCTACTACGAGCAGTACTAAAGTATGTAGTCTTTTTTTCATATCTTTTTCTTTTTTTTTCTGATTTACGTAATGAGTAAGAAATTTATGCACCATTTTAGATGTGCAATTGTCCTTTAGAAAGAAAAGCAAGCACATGGGTTAGTCACCCTTTTGCAGGTAGTGGTTGACCATGAACCCAGAAACAGGAGATGTAATTCCAGATTGACATGAAAAGCTGAGAACTTGTAGTAGATGGTGGATCTCTCCTCGATTGAGTTTATACATCTTAATTGACCTCAGTTCATCTATCCCAACTACCTGACCCCTTTCTCTACATGCTAATATTGCACTAAATTCTAATTAATTGTAGAATACTACTACTTCCAATCTAAGTTGAATGTTAATGTTTGACTTAAATGAAAATTTTAAGATGTAAAATATGTATTACTATTTAGTACCTACTGAGTGAACATTTGAAGTCATACTTTACTCCTTTGATTTTTTGGAACTAAAAAGAGAAAAATGTCCAAAAGGGTGAAAATATGGTTTCTATCTCCTTTTGCACTGTATACTATTTCTTCGTCATTTTATTTTTTTTATCCTAAATTGAAGTGTTACTTTTCTTATCCATCAAGGAATAATATTCTTTACCAAGAGAAAAGGTTGTCAATGTATTGCATTTCCCAAATTTATGTTTTTTTTTATAAGGTAAATGGTATTAATAAAAGGGAAAAACTCCCGTATACAAGAGGTATACCAAAAGGTAGAGAAACTACATCAAAACATGATTCTCTACAAAAGACACCCAATCTTCTATATAAGTAGGGGCTACATGAGTGCACCAAAAAGCAATCAAAGATAAAAGACTATTCCTTAAATGTGCAAAATTATTTTCAATCCCCTCAAACGCTATCCTATTTCTCTCCCCCCAAACGATCCACATGAGTGCTAACGGAGAAAACTTCCAAGCCTTTTGTCTTCTTCTCCTACGAAAGCCGGCCCAACTATGTAACATGTCTCTAACGGTGCTTGGCATCACCCATTGAATACCAAAAAAATTCAGGATTACCCTCCACAAGCCCGATGACAGAACAATGCAACAAAAGATGATCAACTTCTTCCCCCGAGCATTTGCACATATAGCACCAGCTAATGTGTGTAATACCTCTCCTCCTCAGGTTGTCAGCTGTCAAAATCGCTCCCCTCGCTGCCAACCATGCGAAAAAGTACACCTTCGTAAGTGCCCTAGGAATCCAGATCGATGAGTGTGGGAAAAGAGCCTCCTCCCTCACCAACAACCTCTGGTACAAGGACTTGACTGTGAACAATCCATCACTCCTCAACTCCCATTTCCATGAGTCACTAGAAGACTGGGGCCTGTTTCCCAAATTTATGTGACTTTAAGTTTTTAGCTTTTACTATGACAATCCGTCTTTGTCATTTAAAATGTCAACAAAAAGAAACTTATGACGCTTTTTTCCTCAACTAAATTACCCTTCTCAAACTTATTGGCTGTATAAACATAAGTGAGGTTAAATGAGGGGGATTCGAATACCAAGTTTTTTCATAGGGTGGCGGTTGCAAATCGAAGGAGAAACTTCATAGAGTCCTTAGTTGTGGATGGGGCGAGGATTGAGGGAGAGGAGGAGGTAAAAGTGGCGATAGCGGGGTTTTATGAGAACTTATATAAAGAGGAAGTTAGTTGGAGGCCGACTTTGGGGGGAATAGAGTTCAACCATATAGGGGAGGGGGACAGCGAGTGGCTAGAAAGGGTTTTCGAGGAGGAGGAGGTGCATGAGGCTGTGTCGAGTTGTGCTGGTGATAAGGCCCCCGAGCCTGATGGTTTCTCCTTGGCTTTCTTTCAGCTCTTTTGGGACACCATCAAGGGGGGGTTGATGGGAGCCATTGAATACTTCCATGTGAATGGTGTTTTCGAGAGAAGTATCAATGCTTCCTTTATTACTATTGTGCCTAAGAAAGAATGTGCATCTTGTATCGGAGACTACATGCCTATTAGTCTCGTGGGGAGCATTTACAAGATTATTTCTAAAGTGTTTTCCAACAGACTTAAGAAGGTTCTTGACATGACTGTTTCGTCCTCCCAGAATGCGTTTGTGGAAGGTAGGCAGATCCTGGATGCTGCTTTGGTGGCAAATGAACTTGTAGACTCCAGAAGGAAAAATAGAGAACCCGGCTTACTATGCAAGTTGGACCTTGAGAAGGCTTTCGACCATGTCAATTGGGAGTTCCTGGACTTCATTATGATGCGGATGGGGTTTGGGGCAAGATGGAGAGGATGGATCAAGTTCTGCATTTCCTCAGTCAGATTCTCTGTCCTGGTTAATGGTAGCCCGTGTGGTTTCTTTGGCAGTTCCAGGAGTCTCAGGCAAGGTGACCCCCTATCCCCCATGTTATTCATTCTAGTGATGGATGTTCTGAGCAAATTGATGGATCGTGCGGTGGGCGGAGGCTTCTTGAGAGGATTCTCAGCTCCGATTGGGGTGCTCAGTGCCCGGAGAGTCTCACATTTGCTTTTTGCGGATGACACACTGGTTTCTGTGATACCGATATGGATCAGTTGACCTACCTGAAGCAGGTCCTGCAGTGGTTTCAGTTAGTATCAGGACTCAAAATCAACATCGGCAAGTGTGAGATTTTCCCGGTAGGTGAAGTTGCTAATATTGATGCCTTGTCTTATGTTCTCAGAAGCAAGGTGGGCTCCCTTCCCACTACTTACCCATTGGGCGCTTCATATAAGGATACTACGGTTTGGAATCCAGTGATCGAGCGGGTTGAAAAAAGATTAGCAGGCTGGCAGAAACGGTATTTGTCAAAAGGAGGTAAGGAAGTACTTATCAAAAGCACTTTATCAAGTATGCCCACCTATTACTTATCCCTGTTGCAAGCACCGGTGAGCATCACAAAATAACTGGAGCGACTTCAAAGGAACTTTCTTTGGGATGCGGCGGATGGAACTAGAAAGTTTCATCCAGTGAATTGGCAGACAGTCACTTCCCCAAAGAAGTGGGGTGGACTTGGAGTGAAAGATCTTAGGGTATTTAACAGAGTTTTAATGAGGAAGTGGCTGTAGAGATTCGGGGTAGAAGAGCATGCTCTATGGAGGGAGGTCATAGTAGAAAAGTAACACCTTTCGGGTGTGGCATGTGGAGGAGCATCATGAAGAATTGGGAAGCATTCAGTGGCAACATCATTTACAGGGTGGGAAATGGAAGGAGAATCAGCTTTTGGAATTATAGGTGGTGTGGAGAGGATACTCTGAGGGTCTCCTTCCCCTATGTCTTCAGAGTTTCAAAACAGAAGGAACTGATGGTCCAACAGATTCGTAAGGAGCATGAAGTGGGGTAATATGGGACCTCTCATTCAAAAGGAACATGCAAGATTGGGAGATTGCGGAGCTCCAAGATTTGTTGGCACTGCTATATGGGCAAGACAGGCCCCAGCCATCCTGCGACTCTTGGAGATGGGGCTTGCGTGGCGATGGTTTGTTCACCGTAAAGTCCTTTTACCAGAGTATGTTGGTGAGAGAGGAGACCACTTTTCCGTACTCCTCGATCTGGATTCCTATGGTGCCCACGAAGGTGTGCTTTTTTGCATGGCTAGCGGCGAGGGGAGTGATCTTGACTGCTGAAAATCTCCGAAAGAGAGGAATTACACTTGTTAGTTGGTGCTACATGTGTAAAAGCTCAGGGGAAGAAGTTAATCATCTTTTGTTGCATTGCCCTGTGTCCTCTGCTTTGTGGAGGGCAATCCTGAATCTTTTTGGTGTTCAACGGGTGATGCTAAGCACTGTAAAGGAAATGTTATATAGCTGGGCCGGTTTCCGTAGAAGAAGAAAGTGGAAGTTCGTCCCGTTAGCTCTCATGCGGATAGTATGGGGGGAGAGAAATAGGAGAGCTTTTGAGAGATTGAGTCTCCTTTTTCACATCTTAAGAATAGTTTTTTATTTTTTATCGCTTTTTGATGCACTCATTTAGCCCCTACTTGTATAGAAGATTGGGCGTCTTTTGTAGAGAATCATGTTCTGATGTAAATTCTCTATGTTTTGGTATACTCCGTGTATACGGGAGTTCTCTCCCTTTTGATTAATACAATTTACCTTATTAAAAAAAAAAAAACATAAGTGAGTATGTGCGGTACCCTCGATCCACCATCAGTTTTGGATCAAGAGAGTTGAAATTTTATTTCTAAGAAACTGGACATTTGAGGCGCGCAGAAAATTAATGTTTGGTACGGAATTTAGGACAGAGGAAGTACCAAAATAACATATTGGTTTTGATGCCTTTTCAAATATTATGTTTGAATTTTCACACATTTTCAACTAGTATTTCAAACACAGTTATCACTAATTTCAATATGTTTGGTTGTTCAAGCTTCCTTGTCAAGCAAACTTTACCTAGAATTTCCCAGGAAGAACTCTAATGAGGACAAGGTTAGTGCAGTATCAGTAATCAATTAACATGATCCTAATACTGGCCGCTCCAAGTGAAAAGAATTTCCTGTGATCTACTTATGCTCCACGTGGAAAGTTGTTAAACAATAAGAGATTGCTACAATGTCTCTCTTTAATGACTGGAATCTTATGTAGCCATGTTCGTTGTTTATTCATCTAGTTTATATGCCGGTGTTGTGTGTTATCAGTATATCAGCCATCACCCTGAACTTTTTTCCTTGAAGTGCAAGTTGTTTGTGTAAATAGTGTGCTGCACTTTTTCATTGTGCCTTTCCTTGAAATTTCCAGGACAGTAGCCCAATATTAGTTCTATTACTGTGCACAAATTGCTTACTTCTGGAGGTTTTTAATCTTGGCTCTATGTTTTTCAGGCATGGTTATGGAAGATGGCAAGCTATTATTGATGACAAAGAGTTGAGAATCCAAGAAGTTGTCTGTAAAGAGTTGAATCTTCCTTCTATAAGTTTACCCGTGTCTGGAACTTCTCAGCCACAAGTTCCTCCTGCTCCTGGAGCTTCTCAAGCGCTTCCCGCTTCAGGGGTTTCACAAGCACAAGTTTCTGCTCCAGGAGTCTATCAAGCACCAAATGGTGTAAATACAGCTAATGCTGGAACGGTTGGGAATCAGGTGAAGGATGCTGATGGGAGTACCCATGAAGTCTCACATGGCACAAGCGATCCTTCAAACAGAACACAACTTCACCAAGATTCTTCTTTGTTATATCATTTTAGAGAAATGCAGAGAAGACAAGTTGAATTTATAAGGAAACGGGTGATGCTTCTCGAGAATGCAATTAATGCTGAGTATCAGAGAGAAGTTGTTGTAAGTCATCTTTAAATGTTCAAAAATATGTGATGTTGGAGTTCATTAGATTATACTTGGAAGTCCATCGGTGATGAATGTGTTTCCAAAGAGGGTAATGGCGAACCCGGCTTCTTCTCTTCTTCTTTCTTTTTTTCTCCTCCTGGTGTCACGTCATCTCAGAAGAAAAACTGAGAATTGCAGATCTAGTGTTACGCTCCTTAAGAGCCATAGAACTATGAGCCTGGTTTGAGTGGGGTCCTGTAGTCTCTAGGTGTATTTCTGTTGTCATGCCATGTTAGCAGGTTAGCCTTGTATGGAACTTCATGTTCATGCTAGTTTTTAACCATTGATTGTGTAACCTTGTGGTGTTTTGAACTGTATAGAAGGCGAGGTTTCTCTATGATTAATAGAGCTTGGGGAAATTTTTGTTCTCTCGAGAAAGAACCTTTGTCGTGTTCAGAAGTTACTATCTGTGGACTTTCTTAGTGAACTTACACGGATAGAATGTCATATGTTACTTGGTCTTTGTTTTCTCGTTGGGGGACAGCTTTTGCCCTTTGTTCTGATTTGACTTGCTCATTTTCATGTCTTATGATTGTTGTTTCTCATTTTGTTCCTATGTGTTTTATGTTTTAAGAGCTTGGTTTTGCAGCTCCATTGGTTGATTTGATCATTTTGAGGATTTCATGTGGTTTATTTATATCCATGTGCTTTCTTCAGGGTTATGGAAAACCACATGAATTGCCTGGGAAAGAGAGAGAGTGTGAGACCAAGACTGTAGACGAACCAAGTCGGAGTGTTGATGCAGCTGATACTGGAACGAATGATAATTTCCCAAAACTTATTGCAATTTGTAAGTATAGCCAGTCGGTGCTTGAAGCGTCTCTACTGTGTGTAGTAGTAAAGCTACTGACTGGCATCCCATGTATTCTGAATGCAGCTCCACAGGGAATCTCTGAAGTTGCTTGTGATGGTGAAGCGGATCGTTTGAGTGTTGCTCAGCTTTACAACAAGGTGAGTATTCTGCTACCGAACATATTTTAGGACTTCAACTCGTGCATGATTTGATGCGTATTTGCGAGAATAAGTCAATAGAACATATTTTTGTAGCAAGGGTTTCATAGATATTTTATGCCTTTTTATTTGTTTTGCAGATGTGCAAGGTACTTTCTGAAAATGGCCAAGATTCATTTAATACATATGTAGCAGGTCAGCCAGCTAGTTTGGAAATGAGAAAGAACCTCCTCCCACTGGAGGCCTTTTTTCAAGAGATGAATCGAGTTCTTTCTTCAAAACATCAGAATCCTTCTATTTTTGAAAGGAGAGAACTTCAAGAAGATTGGAAACCTGAAGGTGGAAAACCCAGTCGAGTGAGTACTAGCAATTTAACAGCTCCAAGCATAGCAGAAAGCAATATGCTCCGCAATGTTATTCCTTCAGGGGAAATAAAACACTGCAGTATAGCAAATGGAGATACTGATATAAAGATGGTGGATAAGCAGGATGATACTGATGTTAGCACCACCAATGTTGCCATGGATACAACAGAATGAAACAAACGGGTTTTCGAGGCGTTCCATTCATTAAGTGAAAGTAAATTATATAGGGAAACTAACAAGCTTCTCATTAACCATCATAGAATGATGACCAAGCCAAGGGGAAATGACTGTTTTCCTTTTTTTTTTTTTTTTTTTTTTAAAAATTGTTTGTCCCACTGGTCAAGAACTCACTTTGAAACGTGAAGACATTCTCGTACTTAACTGGTTCAAACAACAGATATTAGCCTCTTTAATTGTTGATTATGAAAGGATTGAATTGTCAGCATCCCATGTATCAATGGACATGTTGTAATATTGTAACTTAAGTATTGTAACCTTACATGTAATGCGAGTCAGTTTCATATATTATACACATTATTTAGCAATACTACATTTGACTGAAAATTTCGTACTTGAAAAAAAAAAACTTTGCTTGGATTTCTTGATCTTGACATCTATAGCCACATTCATCAGTGAAGCTACTGCATATTACTTTCAAATGAGGGCACAAGCCAAGTCACTTGAACTCTTTCTAATAGATTGTTTTCTTTTAAATACTAAATTTTCTTTTGTTTCTCGATGCAAATTATGAGAAATATAAAAGTTAAGTTGAAAGAACATTATACAATAGTTGTAAACTAATACGTGACAAAGAAATGCGTCGACATAAAAGTTATTACAATCATCTTGCATTAAGGTAGACTGTCGGTCCTCTCCGTGCGTGAACACGTGAGACTAACCTACTCATCTTTCTTGATAACGAAATAAGGATCAATAATACCCGATTATACAAAATTATCTAGTATGGTGGAAGTGCAATTATTCTTTATTTTTCAACTATTAATAAGCGGGAATTTGAGCGGCCTCCGGTTACAAAGAAGGCTGCATCCGGTTACTATTTGGGTCATAAAGGTATCTATGTAATTACGGTGAAATGGAGTAACACTAAAATCTTGAGTTAGCTTTGATTTTGAATCCCACTTGAATAACATGACTTTGTGCCGACTAAATGTGCATTTCAACTTCACAAAAGGACTTTGTGAAAACAATTTCAATAAAAATAAGGAAAAAAATACTCTGTTTGAAAGAAAAAAAGAAACTTCAAGAGAAAACAACTTTACAAAAATTCTTAGTATGATCAATTCAGGAATACGTTTGCAACATTATTTTGATAATTTTCTTAATGTATTTTTTTGTAGTTTTTTTAAATATAATTTTATCTTTGTTAAGTTAGATTAGTAATTAAATTAAGTCTTTTAATTATCACCATCTAGATATATCTGAGCATAATTTTATGAAGGCAATTTAATTTTTTTTCACTAAAGTCATATTAAATAGTAAATTTGATAATAGAAGTATTGTAACTTAAAATCTTTATATTTGTCTTGATATACTAAAATATTACAACAACAACAACAACAACCCAGTATAATCCCACTAGTGGGGTCTGGGGAGGGTAGTGTGTACGCAGACCTTACCCCTACCATGAGGTAGAGATGCTGTTTCAAATAGACCCTCGGCATCCTTCCCTCCAAGAACTCCCCACCTTGCTCTTGGGGTGACTCGAACTCACAACCTCTTGGTTGGAAGTGGAGGTTGCTTACCATCAGAGCAACCCCTCTTGTCCAAAATATACTAAAATATTACAACAACAACAACAACCCAGTATAATCCCACTAGTGGGGTCTGGGGAGGGTAGTGTGTACGCAGACCTTACCCCTACCATGAGGTAGAGATGCTGTTTCAAATAGACCCTCGGCATCCTTCCCTCCAAGAACTCCCCACCTTGCTCTTGGGGTGACTCGAACTCACAACCTCTTGGTTGGAAGTGGAGGTTGCTTACCATCAGAGCAACCCCTCTTGTCCAAAATATACTAAAATATTACATTTGCAAAAAAATTGGTTAATCAAGTTTAATTAGTTTTGAATAAACTTGGTTGTATTAAGCATTAATATGTTATAACTCAAATTGACTTCAAGAGAATTGCTCCGGATATAGTAATTTTTTTTGTAAAAAAAAGGGTGAAGAGAGAATATCTATTTTGATCATGCAAATAGTGGCATTTGATTACAAAGTCAAAAGTTTTAAATCACCATACTTCTAATTATCTTTGATCAACTATACTCACGGTTCACTATGATCTTTTATAGATGCTTTATCCCTCAAATGTTCCAACCAACTTTATTTAATTAACTGCTAAGCAACTCTAAATGATTAAAAAAAACTTTACCACCTTAGCTATGTCAATTGGGCGGCTTCATATAAAATTGTGAAATTATTTGTTTTTCCATATAGATAATCTTTGTTTCTAATTATGTATGTGACAAAATAATATGACGGTTTCGAAACTCGTGGTCCGACTAATTTGAATGTGTTTCCGGGAGGTAGAATTGCATATTTACATGGAAGTATCATAAAATTTAGCTTTTTAGTATGAAATAATTTTAATCGTATGATTCGGTTTAATTAATCATAAAATAATTATACCGTCTCTCTCCCACCCACCAAACAGTACCTATTGGTTAAAGTTTTCTCCAAATTTCAATGTCCTCATTCTTCTTCTTCTTCTCTCATATTTGCAGAGTTGTTTAAAAACAAAGGGATTCTAGAATCTTCCACTCCACATTCTTCGATCCTCCTTGCTCGCTTTCTCATGGATCCTCCTACCTCTTGGGATTCCTTGCGAAAGCAGGTTACTACATTCCTTCGTATTGATTTTCTATTTTTGTATAAAACTATGTAATAAAAAATCGGACAATTCTCCTTTTGTGCTATACTATGTCAATCTTTTCTGTATCGTTCCAATTGTATTTCCAAATGTATCAGATTTCTCGTATTGTTTTTGGCTATTTGGAAATATATTGTAAATATAGTGTCGGTATGCAATTTTTGAAAGTTTGAGATGCTGATTTATGAATTTGAGTGATGATATTGAATGGATCTCTCAGTTTGTCCTAGGTTTTTAAATCCAATTTAGAGGTAGAACTACTCGGATAATTGGACCAGATCTGACAATACCATAGCAGAATCAAGATGTACCATGGCTCAAGAAACCAGAATTATCATAAATATAGCCACTGGAACCATTCTAGAAAGCAATATTAGTAGGCTTAGATCATCTGGAATCAAGATTATCCTCTTTCAATTTGCTTGATTCAGCTTAGGTTCAAATAGGAAAATTGACTTGTTGGTCATGTGGTGAAGTTTTTCTTGAAATCTCATCTGTAATTGTTTCTTTTTCTTCCTCGTATATTTTAATAAATAAAATTTTCTTATACTGGTTTACACATCCAACTAGGCAAGGAAGCTTGAAGCTCAGCTGGATGAGCAGATGCATATATATCGTAAGTTCGTTTCAAACAAAACTGGTAATGCTAATGATAACGATCTTGAACCCAGTATAGATCAGCTGCTCAAGCAGCTTCAACAAGTAAATTCACAAATGCAAGCATGGGTTTCATCTGGAGGATCTGAGATCTTTTCTCATACACTGACTCGGCATCAAGAAATTCTTCAAGATCTTTTTCAGGTACTTTAAATTCTTTTCCCCTAATAGATCCTGGTGCAATTCTGCTATATAGAGATACTGCAACGACAAGCCATGCAAATTTTGTGGTAGTGGAATTATGTGCCAAGCAAAGTGTTAATGTCTTCTTGCCTCATGCATTTGGTTCAAAGGCAATAAAATGCATAATGTATGATAGACTCATGTTACGAGTTTGAAACCTTCCTGTTGCACTAAGTCTGGCATTTGAATGGTAAGGTATAAGGGTTGGCCCACTATCCCCGAGTTTGAAGCTGAAAGAATGGAATTTTCGGTCATAAAAAAGGTTGATGCCTTATTAGAAGCTCAGCACAAGTTAGGAAGCTGGATTTTTTTATGGTAAGTTGGGAAGCTAGATATTTGGAGTTCCCAAGACAAACATGCTCTTGAAAATTAATGTAATATATAGCGGGGCCTTTTTCACTTAATATTTATTCTCGGAACACTGACAGTGGCCCTTGCCTGTATTCTCATGGCCATCAAATCCGCATAGGCGCATACAACCACCTTGGATATAGAGTATGGGCTAATGGTGTGTTGCAGTTGAACAATCTGAAGGGCCAAATAATTCCAAGATGAACTTGGTTGATATGGTATAAAATATAAATTTGCTGAAAATGGTAAGACTATTTGATGGGATACAAAATTGAAACGAATGTCGGAAGCTGATGTTGAGAAGCAGTTTCATGTCATGGCGAGAACTAAGGGGAAGAATAAGTTATGCTCTTAGAACACTCTCTTGGCAACTTCTAGTTGCAGCAAGCTGACTATGAGAATGGAGAAAATATTTAGTTGTCTCGCTGGAAAACTGTTGAAACTAACAGAAAGGTCCTTGGGTAAATGATGATCCAGAATGAACTGCTGAAACTAACAGAAAGGTCCGCGAGTAAATGATGATTGATCCAGAAGTAGGTTTAACTTTTGACCTACCAAAAGTCTGCTCTTCAAGTGTATCCCTGGGCATCTCCTAGTCTCAAATGCTTTGATGGCAGATATTCTTATTTGTCTACACATGAAATAACCCAACTGATTCTTTCTTTTCCTACTTGCAAAATGATGTAATAAGATCATGATATTATGAGTTTAAAGAAAGAAAGCATAATATCACCATGTAAGCAAAACATGCGTAATACAGAGAATGCAAAAGCTTCTGATACATTGGTAAGTTAAACCTACGATACACACACTCACACACAGATGGGTACGTACAGCACATAACTTCTTTGTTTAGTTGTTGAATAGTTAAATCAATAAGCAAAATTGAAAGAAAATTAAGTTGAACAATGATTTCATTGTCAAACAAAACCAGATAATTTGCACGTTGAAAATTTTAATGTCTGCAAACATGGTATTGGGAATCAGTAAAATATCTGATCATGGAATCATGCGTCTTATAGAGATGCAGTATTCAAAGGACTATTCACTGTATTGTCTAGTAGCAGCTTGTTTGCATTTCTCAATGGACAATCTGATGTCTAATAGCATGATTGTTAAAACTTCCTCTTATTAAATAAAGTAACTGATAATTAAAAGAGCTTCTCTTGTTGGATTGTAGGAGTTTAATCGGCTCCGTTCAAGTTACAGAGCTAAGAAAGAGCATGCTTCATTGCTTGAAGATTTTAGGGAGTTCGATCGGACCAGGTTAGATCTGGAAGATGGTAGTGGGTCTCATGAGCAAGCACTCCTTAGTGAACGTGCTTCCCTCCATAGGAGTACTGGACAGGTAAATTACAAAGCTTCTTTGATATGTTGATGGTGGCTAATTTTCCCTGTTGTCGTCCAAAGAGTTTTCATAAGTGTTACAGTAGATGTGCATATTGCTGTGCTCAATTGCTGACTTCTTGATATAGATGGATGGTGTGATTTCTCAAGCTCAAGAAACAATAAAGACACTTATGTTTCAAAGATCAACATTTGGTGGCATTAATTCAAAGTTGAGCAATGTCAGCAGTCGCCTTCCAACGGTAAGAAAACTATGTCTTTTTGACACCCGTTTATGCATTTCTTGAATATCTAGAGGTGATCAGAAGTAGGAGAGCTTAAAATTCTCACACTAAATAGTGATAGCATTTGCCACGAGCTGCTTCATTGATCTGATTCAGATAAGTCATCTCCTTTTGCTTGGTAGTTGAGGCTTATGAGCAACAACCTGGAGATCCCAGGTACAATACTCAGTTTGTGTCTGTGCTGTTACAGTAATAGCTCCCCCAGTGAATTAATCAAAGTGCGCACAAGTTACCCAGATATTACCTCAACAAAAATAAAATAAAATAAGATTAAAAAAGAGGAATGTGATCTTCGACGTGAAGTACTTTTGGATCTTTAGCAAGTAGTGTTTGAAGTACTTCTAGACTTCCGCAAGTTCTAGGATTACTTGTTAGACAAGTAATTTTGTAAGCAACATATATTTTCGCTAAACTGAAAGAGCTTTTTCTTTTAGAAACACTTCTTTACAAAGCGATCACAGCACAAGCACCTCTTGATTAGTGTCAGTGCATCATATTGTTAAATATCTGCAGAAACTTCTGTTTCAGATGGAATTGATCTCATTTTTTTCATATTTGCTCTGCTACAATTTTGCAGGTTAATCATATTCTTTCTGCAATAAAGAAGAAAAAGTCTATGGATACTATCATTCTTTCATTAGTTGCCTCGGTATGCATGTTTCTCATTTTGGTTTACTGGATGACGAAATGAAAACAATAATTTTGGACTTCTTAATGGAGTTTTTTAGCAGAGTTTTTACTCTTTCTGTATCTATTGTATATTCACACCCAGTAAATTTTGTAATGTTTCATTTTTATACGTGTAAGATGGTACTTATTGAATTGGTTTTGTATGCATGGGGTTACTCTTGTACACTTTCCCAATTCTAAGTGTCAAATGATTCAGAGTCTGTCGTTTTTTGGGGAGTGAAAGTGAGGATATTTTGTAGCAGCATAGAGTAGTTCATGTAATTGATAATGAAGACCAGTTTATTTGGAATTTGCTTAATGTAAAGAAAGGATCAAATCAGCAAATGCAATAAATAGTAAGTGTAGAAATAGTGGAATTGAAGAGTGGTCGCGAGTAAATGACAATGCCACTTTATTGCTGGGCATACTGAGTAAATGCCCGGCAATATTCATAGCAATGATTATCACAGAATAGATTGGCATTTCCTTTTTTTATTTTATATGTAGGAGATATTGTCAAACCCTGTCCTCGAATATTCTTGCGACAAGACGGATTCGCCCCAATTTGAAAATTTCAATCAAAGAATTTGGTGTTACATATACGATTCCATTTTATTTGTAACCACTCTTCAGATAATTGAAGCAGATAATACATTTAACTTATTTTAAACTAATCACATTGGACTCACTGGAGGGAAAAACTCGAGTCCATCTTTTTTCATCTTCTTTATTACCTAGTCATAACCCCATCGTTTATGCCTAAAAGGTTCTAACTGATGCACAGGTAAATGCGAAAGTCAGAAGAAGACTAGAAATCTCATGCAAAAAAATATTTATTATTTGTACATCATGACCCTTTATAATTTGTAGTTCAAGAAAATAATTTTTTTAGATCTCTTATGTGTAAAAGACATATCTCTTAGGCCAAATACATCGGCAACTCCTTAAAATTGTCATCACTTTTCACTTAAAACACTCTATTTTAATTCTGTTTCATTTGAACACTCAAACCATATCTCAAATGTTTCATTTAAACACAATTTGATGATGTGGCATAGTGCGTGTATTACACTATTTTCCCGAGCGTGAGAGATCATTATTTCTATTTTTTTATTTTTTTCACTTTCTTTTTTCTCCTATTCTTTGGCAAGCAGAACACGAACGAGGTCGCCGGAAAAGTCAGAACTCCGGCCAAGTCCAAAGAGGTGACAAACAACAGTAATATGTTATCAAGGTTTTAACATTTACATACCAACCACGAAATCAGTAATAGACAGAATACGAATGAATCTCCGATACCACAACGATGGAACACCAGAAATGGTGATAAATGTCGTCGGTAGTCGTCGAAATATTAAATGTCCAGTTACTTCTTTCAGTTCTGCTCTTTTATCAGTTATAATAACAACGAAACAGAATAATAGAGATGAAGAAGGAAAGGAAATGAGCAATGGCCGGTGGTTGCTAGAATCGCCGAATTCTTTTTTGTTTCTTCCCTTTTTTCTCAACTCAGATTTTTTCTTCTTCAGTTAGCTAAAAGAAGGGATTTTCAACCCAAAAAAAAAAAAAAATTGACATAAATTTCTCCCTTCCCAAATATGAAAATCCAAAAACGGTACATGTGTTTTTTCCTTATGGCAGATGAAGACGGAAGGAGGGGGGGAGGGGGTTTGGGGGAAGATGACTAAGGGTGACATAGGGTTCTTGTTAAAAAGCTTCTTTTTTTTTTTTTTTTA